TTCGCCCATGACATCATTGAGGTGCTCAAGCTCCAGCGCCCCGACAAGGCGGTGATCCTTTGCTAGAGTCTAGGGGGCTTAGGGTGAGGTTTTTCCCTTTTCCTGCCTATGAGATCGAAATAGGCAGAGTATTTGGGATGAGCTGTCCCCGACCGCATAGGTTGGGCAGTGAATCCAGCTCATACTTCCTTGTTTCAGGTTTAATGTTCTAGCCATTGCACACACTGTTGCTTCTTCCTGCTATCCAAGTTAATGGTTGCTATAATTACTGGAATTGTGTTTGCTAGCAATTGTTTTTGAAGTACTTCCATCCCAATTGTATTAGCAGCTTTCTCATAAATAATGCTGTAGTTAAGAAAACATGAAGCTCATTTCCCAAGGGATGTCCTCTTTCTAAGAGAATGTTGGATAATTATTTTTTTGCAATGGCTGCAGGTACACTCACCAGTGACTTTTCCCTTTGATTAGATCCCCATTATCTCTCTCCCGCATTGATGAAAGCAATGATTTTCATTTAAATAGATAAGTTCATCTCCTCTCCCTTTATCAGTGTAAGACATTCCTTCAGTCAAGAGTATACCCAGGATGCTCAGTCTGTATTCCAGGGGTGTCTGTATTCCATGGTAAAAAGGTAAAGGTAAAGGTTTAGTCGAGTCTGACTCTGGGAAGTGTGGTGCTCATCTGCATTTCTAAGCCGAAGAGCTGCCGTTGTCTGTAAACGCCTCCAAACTCATGTGGCCGGCATGACTGCATGGAGCGGCGTTACCTTCCCACTGAAGTGGTACCTATTGATCTACTCACATTTGCATGTTTTCAAATTGCTAGGCTGGCAGAAGCTGGGGCTAACAATGGGAGCTCACCACGTCCCTCGGATTTGAACTGCCCATCTTCTGGTCAGCAAGTTTTGCAGCTTAGCGGTTTAACCCATTGCGCCACATGGCCCCATGGTATTCTGGGTTTATATTCCTTTGTGAAACCTCTGCACATAACGTAATCAGGATATTGTGGAATGACTTTCCAGAAGAGATCCAACAGCTAAATGAACTGTCAGAATTTAAGACACAGCTGTAAACCCATCTCTTTCAGCAGGCCTACCCAGTTCACTTTAAGCCATGGGTTTTGGATTTACATTCTATTGCTAGTGGTGTGCTTTGACCATGTACTCTGCTTCGAGCCATTAGGAGAGATGATGATGATGATGATGATGATGATGATGATGGTGAAGGTGTATAATATTATACTATGAAATCTAGCATATATATCTCGTTTGCTGTATCATCCTGTGTTTTTGTGTCAGTATAATATACCTATTATTATTATCATTACCATCCTCTACCTGTGCAACCGGGGAGAAAAGTCCATTGAACACAATCAGCCTTACTTTGGAATAGATACATATCCACAACAGGCACCAACAACACAGAGGGTTGCATATAACAGGATTGAGGAATATGGAGTCCTCCTGCTGTTGTTGGATTGTTCTTCCTATAACCTCTCAGTCTTACTCCAATCTCCCACCCACTGGTAGTCTACACCTTTCCTGCCCCTGATGTATAGGATTTTGCAGCCGATTCCCCTTCCTTGTCAGATTAAGCCTCCTCCTTGTATGGTTTGTTCTCATTTTCAGTGAACCAGAGTTCTGTGCCAGCTGCACATTTAGTCAGAAACTCATTGCGGGCACTTTACTGGCATCACTTGCAGAACAGGCAGTTCCTGTACCCACTGCAGTGCTGATATCCCAACTCCTCTCTAGACACTGCAAGAGGCTGCTGAGCAAAGGCTCCAGTTTGGAAGACAGCCAGTAGATGGCAGCAGCAGCCCATTCAACCTTACCTTGAGGCACAAAAGGTTTGGGTAATGAATAGGGGAGCATATAACATGTGGTATATATTGGCATCTGGCTTGCCAGCCTTGCAGGGTGCAGCATTACCATTATTGACTGCATGGCAGGGGGGAGTTTATGCAGCGCAGCTTCTTCTCTCCATGTAGCCCATAATGCCCAGCTACCAACACTGCAGGAAACCATTTTGACTCCATTGTGGACCATTTGTACCACGCTTCAGTGCTGTGGTTCTTGCCAGCATTACCCTGAATGCTGGAACAAGTTGTACCTTGAAGGTAAGAATCATCTTGGACACACCCATATGGTGAGCAGAGGAGGAGGTAGAGCATGTGATCCTCCAAATGTTGGACTACAACTTTTGGTATTGAATTTGTGCTTAGCCATGGAAGCCAACTTGGTGACCTTGGGCAAGTCACACTCTCTTAGCCTTAGATAGTGGCAATTCAATCAGAGATTCACAGTACTTGGAAGTGTCCAGTTTTTTTATGATCACTTCCCAGAACAGTATGGCCATGCCTTCCATGGGATTCCAAGTCCATCAAATTACGGTAACTTTTTCCACTGGCTATTCCACTGTTTGCACTTCCTTCTATGCCTACCCACAAGACAACACAGCCTTGAAATTGTGGCCCTTGTTGTGTGTGTGTGTGTGTGTGTGTGTGAGAGAGAGAGAGAGAGAGAGAGGTGGGGGGATGCATCCCATATCTGAAGCACTTCACAGCTGCAGCACTTGCAAAAGAACTGAATACTTCAAGCATTTGGGTGAGAAAGTTTTCCCATTGCCCAAGATCACCTCAAAAAACAACCTTTTTGTGGAAATGATTTGTACTTCTAGTTAGGAATCATTCGAGTATCAGTAATCCAATGATTTCACGTGTATGTGATCCATCTCTGATTGCAGCTAATTTGTACCCAAACTTGGCATCTCTCAGCTTTATATCTGTTTCTTTGCTGCAGTCTTTTGCCGGAGCATTCACAACCCTTTAGCTTTGGCAGGCTGTATCGTGCTACTTGGGAAAGCCTCTCCTGTGTCTCCCCTCCCCCCAAAAGGTGTGGGGGCACTGAATGCTGGGATTTAAGGGGGAAACCCCCAAACCAGCTACCAGTCCTTTCTCTCTTCTGTAGTAAATGACTCTACAAGACCCTGAGGCCCTTTTTTGTCCACCCCCACTCTGTCTGGCCCAGTGTATCCAAATCTCTTTCCAAAATACTCCCAACGTAACCTCCGACTCCTAATGCCGCTGCTAGTCGACTCCAAAAATAGATGCGATCTGGGGAGATTATTAAGGCAACATGATCCATCTTATTGATTAGCCTCTTGGTTTAATAAGCTGGGTTAAGCTGTCTCTTAGCACAGTATTAGGAGTGAAGACTGGCAAGCATTTTTGCCATCTAATGATGCATCAGCCGAAGTTGTTTCGGGGCTCTTTTCCACAGCCCCACCCATGAAAGTGAAATGAATGTCACTCTTGATGTTGTCATTCCTCTAATACTTACTGAACTGGGTGCAAATACACAGCCTCCCGGGTGTGACTGATAGGGAATTGTCTTGGAATTCTCTGATTCTGAAGCCAATTAAGCATCACAGAAGCAGCCCCCTCTTTTGCCGAGCCAGTAGATTTGTTCATCAGCCGAGTTTAAGATAATGATTGTTTAAATGTAGTGATTGTTTAAAAGTGAAAAGGAGAAATTCACACAGTGAAGCAGCCCCTTCTGAAAGACACCTAGGATGGCCCTGGTTTACTCCTTGAAGGCTGATGGTGAGAGATCTGTGGAGATAAGTGGCCCTGTAGTACTGCTGCTTGTCTGGATGGTGTTAAGGGAGACCCTTCCCAAGTAACTGCGTTGGGACCTTCAAAAGTAGGAAACATAGGAAACATAACTGCGTTGGCCATGCAGTAAAATGCATCAAAATCTAAAATACACAAAAAAGCAATAACTTTATTAGGTTTCCCTTTGATATTAAGTCTAGTTGTGTCCGACTCTGGGGGTGGTGCTCATCTCCATTTCCAAGCCAAAGAGCTTGCGTTGTCCGTAGACACCTCCAAGGACATGTGGCCAGCATGACTGCATGGAACGGCATTACCTTCCCACTGAAGCGTTACCTATTGATCTACTCACATTTACATGTTCTCAAACTGCTAGGTTGGCAGAAGGTGGGCCTAACAGCAGGAGCTCACCCCACTCCCCAGATTCAAACCGCCAATCTTTCGGTCAGCAAGTTCAGCAGCTCAGCGATTTAACCCGCTGTGGCAATGGGGGGCTTTATATACATTTATTAACCAGCCAAAATGCAGAAAATATATCATGCAAAATTATAAGCTTCACTGGCTTCTTCATCAGGCAAAGATGCTAAAATCATAGCTAAAAAAAGATCATGGTGTTCGAGCCGCAGGCCTGTATTTGATCTCAGATGTTACTCTGTTGTCAGATCTGAGCATCTCAATACAAGCCGAGTGTACTCCCCTACTAAACCATGAGGAGCCCAGGGACAAAAGTCTATAAAAGACAGGTAATAAAATTTCAACCCCATTCACCACAAAAAGTTACTTTTCTTGAGATGCAGGCGGCTTCTGTCCTGTATGAAGCTCACTACTCTTTTCTTATGGAGAAAGCATTGAATTTCTCAGGAAATGTTCTTATATCTGGGAAAACCTTTAAGTGCTATATAGGTTAAACCTGCCATCTGTAGTCCAAATGAAAGTATTTTACCTTTCTTGGAGGTAAAAGTCTACATAAATGAGAAGTAGACCAAAAGATAACTTCTTTTTAAGAGAGCTTTCAGAGACTCTCTTATACAATAGTGCAATTGATTTCTTGACAACTGGCCTTTAGGACAGTGGTTCTCAACCTGTGGGTCCCCAGATGTTTTGACCTTCAACTGCCAGAAATCCTAACAGCTGGTAAACTGGCTGAGATTTCTGGGAGTTGTAGGCCAAAAACCCCTGGAGACCCACAGGTTGAGAACCACTGGTTTAGGATAGATCTCAGATTGCCAGTTCATTGGCACTATGAGAGTGTCACCATTTTTTTTTAAAAAAAATGTATCATTACAGGCATTTTCTAAAAGACACACCAAAAGAAAGCATGATTCACATGAAAAATGTTTGTCTTCTCATTGGCTCTCAACTATACCAGTCAGCTCAACATGACATTTTGCTAAATGAGAAAGGGGATGTTTAACCCATTGTCTGTCTCTTGCTGTTGGCCCAATGTGTTTCATCACACCTGTAGTTTAGATTGCGAAAAAAATCCATTGATAATAGGTCATTTTATTAGTGATTTTAATTTGATGTACAGGATCACAAACTAAGCTAGAGCCGCAATAGGAGGTATTGAATTGAAGTTCTCTTATAGTTTCATCCCAAACAAGTCTTGTGCCATCTTATTGTCTTTTGTGGACTCCAACCAGTTTTGCATTTGATGAAACAAACTGAGGCACAAAAGCTTATGTCCCAGAAAACTTGCTTAGAGTTAAATTCCCACAAGGTTCTTTGTTGTCCTGACAGGCTTGAAACCTATACTGTACCATCCCTGCCTCACTCTGGATTGAGTACTCTTTGCGTACTTTTGAGTTAAAAAGAAATAACACGTAAGAGAGTGCATTTTAACAAACAGGCTTCCTATATCCCTTCTTTAACTTAGTTTCACTGTTTCAGCCTTTAAGAGAGAGTTAGGTAGCAAAGATGTGGTTTCCTCCTCGAGTAGTTCATCCAGATTCAGAAGGTGCTGCTGTGGCAACCTTATCCTCCTTGTAGGCTTCCCAGAGGGAATTGGTTGACCACTGTGGAAGCAGAGTGCTCCATCGATCTTGGGTTTGACTGAGTAAGGCAGATGTCTTGCCTTAAAAGAAACCTGGTAGGGGCAAGTGAACTACTGAAAGAGATACACCCATTTCTTCATCAAAAGAATTGCAAGTTTTTGGGAATTACTTGATGTCTATCCGCAATGTGTGCCAAGATGGGATTGCGGCCACAGTCCTTCATACTTACTTAGGTCAAGGGGCAAGGAATATTTGGTCTTCCAGGAATTGTTGATTTGAACTCTGGTCATCCCTTACTTGGGAGTTACAGTCCAACAATACCTGGAAGATCACACATCTTTATCCCACCCCCCTCCACTTGCCAACTCCCCAGAAACCTCCTTGGGCACCAGCCCACCCTCAAGGGGATGCCCACCTGATGCTCTTCTCTCTCCTTGTTCCAGGCAGACATAAGATCCAGAGAATACATCCGGAAACACTTGGAGGCCACCTCCGCCGTGTTACCTCAGCCCGAGAGGTAAGTGTGTGGGCGTGGCAGCTGGATGTCCGTGTGTCCCCTTCAGGCAATCTGCTTTTTAATGCTCTTCGGTAATGGCATTAAAGGGACAGTCAGGGTAATAAGGGAAGATAAAAGAACTACGGGGCCGCACAGCCCCCCGGGAACTGCTATTTCTAGCCCAGTGCCGTGTTGCAGCGTGTGCTCCCTGCAAACCATGTGGTTTCCATGGATAAGGCAGGAACCTTGGGAAGGTTATGGAGGATTTAGCATCAAGCCAACGTACCAGAAGCCATTTTGGCGATGCAGGCATGTTGGTGCTGAGAAGCATTCTCCAGAGTTGCCGCAAGATCTGGCTGGTTCAGTTTCGGTTCTACTGTGTCATTAGTGCTTTGTGGTAAATCCAGAGTAATGCTGGCAACATTCATAATGTTTTGATGTTAGAAACAAGCCTACCTCCTTTGACTTGTTAGGACTAATGTAGTGTTGCGCCATGACATTTTGATGCTTGAGATGAGGGATATGATGCTGTCCCTTCCCTAGTCCATGCATAGAAGATGGATAGGGTGGCTCTTGACTATACCTTGGCACTGGCAATAAGACAAGGTCTTCCCCGATCTCTGAAGACAATTGGGAGAAAGACCAGGAAACACAACTTCTGCCTCCTAGTATCCTCCTGTAAGGCAGTTGCTTCACCATTCCTGGATTCAAAGTAGAAACTGACTATTGAATAACGTGGCCCCATTAAACGCTAATGACAACATGTTCAATTCTGTCAAGAATGTTGTTGTGTTACACTGACTCCCTCCATCCACCGTAATTAGGCCCAACCTGGAGAATAAAGACAGTTGTTTGGGGAAAGAATGTCGCCTTCAGTCCCTGGAAGCCTTGGAGCAGGGCTATCATGGAAAAACCGGCATTTTCACAAACAAGACGATTAACACTGAGCTAAACATGGGATTAAGAAAAATCATGGGCACCCAGATGACAAATTGCCCCCTTATGGCTTGGGGCCCTGTTTATGAAGGTTTTTGCCTTATCCCAGGAAGTAGGATTTCATAGTTGCCATTTTTTTTGTGTCAGAAGCGACTTGAGAAAACTGCAAGTCGCTTCTGGTGTGAGAGAATTGGCCGTCTGCAAGGACATTGCCCAGGGGACGCCTGGATGTTTTGATGTTTAACCATCCTTGTGGGAGGCTTCTCTCATGTCCCTGCATAGAGAGCTGGAGCTGACAGAGGGAACTCATCCACTCTCTCTCTGGGATTTGAACCTCCGACCTGTGGGTCTTCAGTCCTGCCGGCACAAGGGTTTAACCCATTACACTACTGGGGGCTCACCCACCCCATGTGACTCAAGGATTCCCCCCCCCCCACACACACACACACACATACATGGCTGGCTACCCCAGACAGGCCCCTTTGCCAGCACTCCTCCACCTGGTTCTGATTTTCTCTTGAAGCTCCTCACCCCACTCGGATTCTTAGTGGCTCTATTACAGAAGAACTTGATGATTATTAAAATGTGGATGCATTTGCATTTGTATCTGGGGTTCCAAAGCTTCATTTCCTTGCAGCTGGACTGCATCCTGAGGAGAGACTCTTTTAAAATTTGCTCGGGTGCCTTCAACCAGGTGCTTGAAATATTTCAAGTGATGCATGCATGCAAACACACAGAGGTGGGCATAGAAGGAGAGGGGAGAAGGGAGGCATATAAGCCATGGGAGCAATTTCTAGGGATTGGAAGTTGCATTATGAGTGGGTTTTGCACAATCTCTCCCCACATCTCATCCCATTATCCCAGTATGAAGTAGGATTGGTAAAATTTATTATAATTATTTATGATTCAGGAAGGACACCTTGTGTTGTGTTATCCCCCAGCTCAAAATAATGGATCCTCAGAGCCACATGCTTTATCCTGTCTGCATTGCTTCTGCCTGCCCTGATCTGAAGCATTGCTTACACAGTGCTTCAGATTACACTCAGGGCTATACTCTAGGATGTTCTGGGGCTTGTGGGGCTGTATTCTCTTTTGTACTACAGTTCCCAGTTCCAGCTGCTATGGGCCAGTGTGCGGGCCCTAACCCATGGCTGCTAGTTTTCAGAGTTTCTTTTCTGCTCAAGACTGCTACAAGTGGGTTCCCTTGTTTCCTGCCTTTCTGAGATTGTAGTGATGAGGGTATTTTCAATTGAAAACTGTGCTAGTTTGTGGAGAAGCTAGTTTTCCTCTGGGTTCAGTTGCACTTCGTAGAAAGCTAGGCCTGCATTAAAGACTGGAACATCTGGTCCTTTTAGGCATTGCACCACCCACCTACGAGTGCAGAAACTGTTTCTTGATTAAATAATTTCCAGATAATATGTTAGTTAAGACACTGAAAACTTTCTTGCATTGGCAACGGCAAAGCTGTTGTTGAGGGATTGAAAAAAATCTTTGTGGTTTATTAGCAGCCCTAGAAGTTTTCTTGCTCTTTTTCCTTCCTCCTCTCCAGGACGAGTGAAGACACTGAACAGTGATGTGGCATCAAAGATATTCTTCAGGCTGTAAAATCTAGACAAGGTACCACTCAGCCTTCTGAATGGCCAGCTTCCAACTGCTTCTGGTTTCCCTGTGGAGTGGGAATACAGCAAGGAGACATCAGGAGGATCTGTCAGTCCTCCAAGGGTATTTCTCCCCAATTTGTGGCAGGAAGTTGGAGACTTGTCTCCATTTGTGGACTGATGAGCCAAATGGATGTGAAGTTAATTATGAGACAGCAACAGTAATATGTAGAGTTCAGTTCCAAAGTCGATATCAGCCATGGTGAGCCCTTTGGAGACTGTAGCCTTGCCCCAGCTCAGCCCTTTCCAAATGTGAGGTATTGCACCTTTAATTATCCCTAGACTGCATGGCCAATGGGCAGGCTTTCTAGGAATGATAGGAAATGTAGTCATAGAATCATAAAATCATAGAGTTGGAAGAGGCCTCATGGGCCATCCAATCCAACCCCTTGCCAAGAAGCAGGAAAATCGTAGTCTAAAACATCTGAATGCTGTGATTTGATGGGAAGCCACTGTGGTGGTTGGAGAGGGTGAGCTTAACTATTTCGTTCCCTTTCATGTTTCCACTTCTTATTTGAAGCTGCTTTTTTAGTTTGAAAGGAATCCACCTCTCAGAAGCTTATATAGGCTTAGCCTGAAATGTAAACAGAAACTGCTTTAGAGAAGTCATTTTCCTTGCGACTTTGAAGTGGAAGGAAGTCTGTGTGCTTAACCTGTTCTACTCAGAATGAGAGTCCACAACCTATCTGTTGCTGATGCCTGGAGAGGTTTTAGAAAAGGATGAGATAGTTGTAGCCAACGACAAAAGTGTGATGCTAGCCCCTTGCACATTTGGGAGGGGGGAGTGAATTGCTAATCCTTTACATCAGAAAGCTGGTTAAATAGCCTTCCCATCTACTTCTTCCAACACTGCTTACCTTCCCCCTCCCCCAGCTTATATTTTCCCAACAAATGTCATGTCGTGTTTGGCCCCCAATCCCAGCTCCATGGAGAATATGCCTATAGTGTATGACACATGTCTACATGTTTGTGCCAAACAGTAGATGATAGTGTTTTAATTTTCAAAGAAACTGCAAGTCCTGCTGAAATGACTGGAATTGGGTGAACATTATAAGGAACAGAAAGATCTGTTCCTGGCTCTTTATTTTGCACTGTCAGGGTCATCTTCAGAACTAAAGCCTTTGCTTCTGATTGTGGTGTTTTAATGATATGCTAGATGTTACATTGACGTTGTAAGTAAACATTTCACTGGTAATCCTATAAATGATTTTATGCGTACAGTTTCCTAATATTAAGTCAGCAATGAGAAACCAGGCTGTGGGGCTAATGGAGTAATACAGAAAATAAATCGGGATTCAGAGTAAGGAATTCCATTAAGAGCTTGAAGTTGATCGTGTAAGGAGATTCTAATCGTTTGTACGTGCTCTCTCTCTCTGTCTCATTTCTCCTTCCCCCTGTATTTTTTTAGTGACACTCAGTTGCTGGTGCTGCTGGTGCCCGGCCCCCCCCCCCCCCCCCCCCCGCCACTGCCACTCTCTTCGTGATCGTTACTGTCACTTTCACACCTCCCTGGAGAACAGATGCTGAATCCCCAACTCCTGATGGTCTCGGCAGATGGATAGAGAGAGGACTTTGTGTATTGGGTGGGTGTGTAACTTGCGGAAGCCAACAATCTGCTGCTTTCTTTTGTAGGAGGCTCCAAGGCCTGGGCTGAAATTTAGGCTATGGAAGAGCTTTAAATCTTGCCTGGTGCATCGACTCTGCAGGGTTAACAGCGTTTCGCCTCCACCGCTTGGCATCGTACAACCCAAGTGTGGTCTTTTGGCAGTCCTGAACAGTTCACTGTGTGCCTACAGCAGAAAGGATATGTTTGATGTGTCAGTTATATGCAGGTCTTTGGTGGCATCAGGAAAAAGTCTGTCCACAAAACACTATGGGGGAATTATACACCAATCCAGAGGCAGCAAAGTCTATGGAACCAATCTGGCAATTCTTGGCTTCCTTTCCTGCTGATGATTTCACCATTATGATCTCCTCCAGATGAGTTCTGATAGTCCCGCTTGACTTTAACTTGTGGTGGTACCCTTCAATCCCATCCTACAGTCCCGCTTTTTTCCTGCTGTCTCTCCATATAGACCTCAGCTCCACTGCATAGCCAAGTCCTCAGCACCCTTCCTTTCAATCATATCCCACAGCCATCTGTTATCCAAAGTTTTGTTTCTCCGCCTCCTTTCCATTGATCGTGATCTGCCATTTCAGCTCTTCCATCATCAATGCTCTTGCCACCTCTGTCCTGCATCCAAGCTGAAGCTGTTTCCTTCACCAGCATCTTGGATGTCTCCACCACCAATGCTGTCATTCCACTGAATCCTGGGTTGATTCCATGACCTAGTGAATATCCTAGCCCTGCAGCATACCAAAGTGTTTGGATACTATTGTAGCATTGCAAATGTTCACACTTCACCATCCTTTGCCAGCTAAGTGGCACAAAGGCCCAATGCTGTCAAGAAGGCAACAGGAGTGAAAACATCCTTGCAGCTGGCATTTTCTTTGAGTGGAGCCACAACCTCAGCTGCCAGATGTTGAGGGGTGAGGAGCCCACCTGTGACTCAAAGCTGGATAGAAGTAAATGGGCTAGTGTGTGGGGAGTGGGGAGGGGAGGGGGGAGTGGGGAGGGGAGGGGGGAGAGGGGAGAGAGAGAAAGAGAGGCAAAGGCAGAAAGAGACTATTTCTTCCACCCGCTGCTTTTGTAACTGGGAAAGATCTGCAAACTGTCATTAGCAAACTCTGCCTGCAAAAGCAAATTCAATCTGGCTGAAAGAGCTAGTGCCATCTGTGCACAGCTGTTGAGGTGAAAGCGACAGAGCCCTGGGGCCTTCCACCAGAAGGGTCCATCCATCATTCCAGGGCTCCACATGTTCCTTCTCGCTGGTGTTCACTGCTTGGACCTGGAAAGAGCTCTTATTGTGCCATTCAAGGGTCATTTGCAGGAAGCTACAACCTGTTCCTCCTGCCTCTGCTGTCTACATGGGGAGTCCAGACTTATCAAAGGGTCAAAGCACTGGCAGATGGCAGCATCTTTGCTGGCGGAGTGGTGAATCTACTCCAGGTTTGGTTTGACTTTGAAAAGAACTATCTAAAGTGTTGAACTCTATCCCCAAAAGTCACTTGGGACATTGTAGAGTTTGGATTCCAACAGATTGGATTTATCACCTTGTTTACATGAAAGTAATCAGTTGTTAGAGAGCGGTAAATGGCCAGAGGGATTGACCTGAAGGAAAAAGAGTCAATTGTCCTATGGATTTGTGAGGTTGCTAAGGGAAAAAGACAAGTTCACTCACAATTCTTCATAGCTGCTGCATGTCCTTGTGTTGTGGTAGCTTCCTGGAGCTTTAAACAGGACACTGCTCGCATCAGCTAGAAGCGTCTTGCTTTTTCTCAGGCTGCCTGAGGTTGGGGAAAGCTGGCCTACTCTCTTCGTTTCCACTTGCTGCAAAGAGGAGCAGCCTGAACAACAGAATGTTCATTTTTCAGGGCTGCTCTTTGGCTCTCAGATTTTTCCTTCTGTCTTCTATGTGGGGTAAAAGATGGGGGAAATCTGTCTGTTTCAGTTTCTCTCACTTTATGATTAAAAAATGGAATGATCTCAAGCACTTTCTGTCCCTAATATGACGGAATTTGCAGAAGTTGATCCATGATTAGAAAATAAACAAGCAAAATTATCTCCCATTCTGCACTTGCTAAACTCAGTCAGTAGAGAAAGGAACCTGCTTGCCATTTAGAAGTCAAAGATGGTGGGACTCTCAATGAGAAATGAAAGCTGTGGTAATCCTAGTTTGGCAAAAAATAGACTGTGTATATGAGGATTCAGTCTAGACTTTGAGTTTGAAATCTGGGCCTAAACTAACCATCTATTTTGTCTCCTCCTATGTTTGACTATTTCAAATCTCAAGTTCTTTCCACCCTTCCAGTTCCACTTTGTGCCTGACTGGGCTCCTTGTTTTGTTTATGTTATCTTCTGTGTTTGCCCACATACCTACAATCCAACAGACTGTATGTTAAAATTGTCAGGATTGTAATGGTGTAACACTGCTTCAGAGGATGGTCACAATTACTTGCCAAGAATGAGAGACCTCAAATAGACCCCATTTTGCCAGCTCTGGGTCATGGCTTCCTTGATTGAGACTTCCTCTTTTCCTACTGCCTTCACCTTTACTGAATTTTAATGTCTTTTCCTATGCGTCATGTTGTCTCATCCTATGTCCAAAGTACCACAGCCTCAATTTATTCATTCAGACTTTCAAACCTATTTATTTGTGATTTTGGCAATCTGTGGAAACCATAGAACTCTCCTCCAACACACGTGTTTCTACAACATTGGTTCTCTTCGTGCCAGTTTCCCCCCTTCCAGATTTCACAACAAAGCATAGCAATTGGGAATATAATGACATCGACAATCCTGACTTTGGTGCTTAATTTTATATGTTTCAATAATATATGCAATTTTAATTGTACAATTAAATATATTTATTGTATCTTAACTGTATTTTCACTTCTATACATTACACAAACATTTAATTGTTTTTTATTGTTTTTAATGTCGCCTTCGGGCTGAGAGAGGCGGTATATAAATATGGCAAATAAATAAATAAATAATGTTTGTATTTGCCACTTTTACATTTATTGGGTTGTATTATATAATTGTGAGCTGCCTTGAGTCTCCATGGGGGAAAAGGCAGGGTTGAAATGAACAAATCAATAAATCCAGAAGGATTTTACCTAATTTCTTCATAGATGTCCTTCCAAGTCCTCATTTTTTCTCTTTTTTTTTTTTTACTGCAATCTCCATTTTGATTTATGGCTCAGCCAAGGCATAGACTACCTTTAATTACTCCAGTGTCTACATCATTCATTTTAAAGTTATGTATGTTTTTCCATGGTGATTATTTTTTTCTTCATTTTCTTCAGTCTTGCTTTGCCCCCCCCTTTCCCCCTTTTCTCTTGACTTTCCAAATCTTTGATGTTTTCTACTTGTAATATTGTATCATCTACTATATCAAATAGTTGGTGCCATTTTCCCATATTTTTCTTCCTCCAGTTCTAATTCTGTATGTTGTATGATATGTTCTGCATATAAATTAAATTCAATATTAGGATCTCCAACTAGAACATCAAGCCTCTTTTTGAACACATCCAGAGGAGGAGACTTAACCTCCTTTCTAGGCAATTGGTTCCATTGTGGAATCAACCTCATTATCCCAAATGCTAAGTTACTTGTAATGTTCAGTCAAAATCTACCTTCCTATAACTTAAAACCTTTATACCTAGTTCTGCCCTCTGAGTCAGAGAACAGGGGTCCCTCTAATCCAGTAGTTTAGTTCCCAACCTTTTTTTGACTAGGGACCACTTGACCAAGGACCACTTGACCAGGAACCAGTTTCCAATATTAGTACCAAAAGGTTTACAAATCTGTTTTTTGTCAACTTTAGATTTGGTTTGGGGTGCTGATTCAGCTCTAGTTTCTGATACAGAACAAATTCCATGGTCAGTAACAGGGAAGGAGTGGCAGGCAGCATGAAAGGAGCGGAAATAAAATAAATAAAGAGGAAGGAGGCTCGCAGACCAGTTTTTTGTCCTTGCAGCCCACTGGTGGACCACGGCCCTCTGCTCTAATCCAAACTTGTCAGCTTTGAGTGGCAGAAAAATTTCAGAATCCTCAGCCAAAAAAGGATCACAAATATACACTGAAATGCCAAAACACAACAGATGAACAGCTAACTAAATACTGCAGGTGCATGTCAGCAATAGAATGAGTTCCGAATATGTGATTTCATGTATATAAATGTGCAAGATAATGTTGGTAATAAACTTTTATTAATGACCAGTCTATTCTCAGACAAAACAACCCACACAACTAATAAATCATGTCATCTGGGACATTATTTGGAAGAGATTAAATCAAAATTTGTATCAGTAACAGTATAAAACAATAGAAAACAAACTCACTAACAATAACCCCCACTTATGAAAATAGAAATGCTGGTTCATGGGGTGAATCTATAAATAAAAAACATTGACTGCTGAAGTAAAAATGGTATAAATATGTCATACAAAAGAATTCATTCTGTGAAAGACAACCTGTCTGGTAACTAAGTGAAGTATGGTATTATTTATTTGCTTGTTTACATGGTTTTTGTATTTTACATGCCTATTTAGGACATTCTCCATTGTTTATGATCATTGTGTTTAAGGTTTCAGGTGTCTGAGAGCCTTCTGTTGTGTCCTGGTGTCTCCATGGGTTCAGACAGGATTCTTTCATAGTCCTCCCTGGAGATCTATGGTCTCTGATGGTCTTCCATGAAAGAATAAACCAAGATAAAGTCTAAAATCGGATGAGATCAGGAGTGGTTTAGGGTTAAGATGTGGTCCTTTTTAATGTACCTCTTCCAACAATTTGACTTTTAACCTTGTCAAAATTGTGGAACATTTCGCCTCTGAA